GGTCTGCTCCCCCCGTGGGTCTGCTCCCCCCCGTGGGTCTGCTCCCCCCGTGGGTCTGCTCCCCCCGTGGGTCTGCTCCCCCCGTGGGTCTGCTCCCCCCATGGGTCTGCGCCCCCGTGGGTCTGCCCCATACCCGTAGGTCTGCTCCCCGTGGGTCTGCTCCCCCGTGGGTCTGCTCCCCCCGTGGGTCTGTCCCCCCCCGTGGGTCTGCTCCCCCCCGTGGGTCTGCTCCCCCCCGTGGGTCTGCCCCATACCCGTAGGTCTGCTCCCCCCGTGGGTCTGTCCCCCCCGTGGGTCTGCTCCCCCCAGTGGGTCTGCTCCCCCCGTGGGTCTGCTCCCCCCGTGGGTCTGCTCCCCCCGTGGGTCTGCTCCCCCCGTGGGTCTGCTCCCCCCGTGGGTCTGTCCCCCCGTGGGTCTGCGCCCCCGTGGGTCTGCCCCATACCCGTAGGTCTGCGCCCCCGTGGGTCTGTCCCCCCCGTGGGTCTGCCCCATACCCGTAGGTCTGCGCCCCCGTGGGTCTGTCCCCCCCCCCCGGGGTTTGGAAGCCCTCATTGCTCTGCGCCTCTTCCCCCCCCTCCCGCCCCCCTCGCCCGTGGGTGCGCTGCCGGAGGAGCGTGGAGGAATGCTGGCCTGGGCTGGGGCAGGGCATCCCCACTCCCGGGCCGCGGCTGACTTGGGTCCCTTCCCTGTGCACAGCACCCCAGGGCGTCCTGGCTGCTTTGTCGGCAGCAGGGGTGGGCTCCTGCATAAGGGCTGGAGAAGGATCTGGAAGCTGTAGTAATGGAGGCTTAGACTTAATGGGAGAGGGGCGGCTGGAGGGAGAGGACAAGATGGGTGGAGCCTGGCTCCCAACTTTGAACAGCATTTCCCCAGCTTGACATTGCTGGGAGATGCGATGACTTCCTTTCCCTGTCCTGGTATGCTTTCTAGGATTTTGCCCCAAATCAGTTTGGCTGGCTACCGGGAAGCGGCCAGACTGATGGGGCAGAGGTAGAGGTGTGTGTGTGTGTGTGTGTGGAGGGGCCAGGGAGGCACCTGCTGCCCTGCCTCTGGCAGGAGGCTGGACACTAAGCTCAGTGTGTGCTGATACTGGCCTTATAGGCAGGGCCTTGTGCCTGTTCCCCTCCCCTGGAGGCTGGTGCTCTGCCGCTTGAGCCACAGCTCCACTTCCCTGTGCAATACCTTGCCTCTGCATTTGAAGAGCTTTTCAGGTTAGAGTGGATTTGAGCAAAGTTCCCCTAAGTGTTCATTTCCAGTGAAGCCCTCAAGCCCAAGCCTACCGTGTTTTCTGGGGAAGGCTGGTTTATGGTGTCTTAAATGTCTGCAAGTTACCTGGGAGGAATCGGACCCTAGCCACGCCCCTGAAGATGGCAGAAGGCAGGGAGTGGTGAGCAGGTGCACTTCGCTATTCTCCAGGGAGGGGAGTGGCTGAGGACACACGCAGGATAAATAGCCGCCCTGAAAGCCGGCAGGGTGCCGGGCTCAGGTGTGTCTCCCCACAGCAGGGGCAGGCCGTGGACATGCTGCTGCTGCTGCTGCGCACGGGCTGGCTGCTGCTCCCTGCGGCTCTGCTGTTTAGCGGCTGGCTGCTCCTGAGGAGGGAGGCGGTGCCTGCCGGGGGCTCCGAAGCCCTGCAGCCCTTCTGGGTTTCCCCTGGCCCCCACCCCTGCCGCTGCTTACCCAACCACACAGCAGCCAAGGCCTCCCTGACCCTGCCCAGCCGGCACCGCCTCTTCTTGACCTATCGCCACTGCAGAAACTTCAGCATTTTGCTGGAGCCTTCCAGGTGTGCCAAGGATACCTTCCTGCTTCTAGCCATCAAATCACAGCCTGGTCAGGTGGAGCGCCGTGCAGCCATCCGCAGCACGTGGGGCCGGGCAGGGAGCTGGGCTAGGGGCCGACAGCTGAAGCTCGTGTTCCTCCTCGGGGTGGCGGGACCTGAACCCCCGGCCCAGCTGCTGGCCTATGAGAGCTGGCAGTTCGATGACATTCTGCAGTGGGATTTTGATGAAGACTTTTTCAACCTCACACTCAAGGAGCTGCACCTGCAGCGCTGGGTGGCAGCTGCCTGCGCCCAGGCCCACTTCGTACTGAAGGGAGACGATGACGTCTTTGTCCACGTCCCCAATGTGCTGGAGTTCCTGGATGGCCAGGACCCAGCCCAGGACCTCCTGGTAGGAGATGTCATCCACCAGGCCTTGCCCAACAGGAACACTCGAGTCAAATACTTCATCCCGCCCTCCATGTACAGGGCCCGCCACTACCCGCCCTACGCAGGGGGCGGCGGCTACGTGATGTCCAGAGCCACGGTGAGAAAGCTCCACAGAGCCGCTGAGGCGACCGAACTCTTCCCCATCGATGACGTCTTTGTGGGAATGTGCCTGAGGAAGGCGGGGGTGAGCCCCACGCACCACGCTGGCTTCAAGACATTTGGAATCCGGCAGCCACCAGACCCCTGCCTCTACAAGGGGCTCCTGCTGGTGCACCGCCTCAGCCCCCTGGAGATGTGGACCACATGGGCAGCGGTGACCGATGAGGGGCTTCCGTGTGCAGCCGCTCCCGGGCCTCAGCTCTCAGGGGTGGGCTGAGAACACTCGGATGGACTTAGTGTGGATCTACTACTCGGAAGGTGAGAGCCTCACAGGTCTTCAGGAAACGCTGTTGTAAACCTCCCTCCCACTTTGCTTGCTCTCATTAAAAACGCTTTAGTCTGGCCAACTTGTCCAGCATGTATTGAATGGGAGCAAATGCGGCTGGAAACGCATGGGGAGACCCTGCTCATGTGGGACCGAGGATGCATCCTCCTCAGGAGGCAGTGGAGGAACTCCAAGCAAGCAGACAGGAGGCCTGGGTTAAGAGTAAGTCGTGTTGAAAGCACCAGGTGACATCGCATTCCTTCCTTAATAACAGACTCATTGCCTCCACCTGAGCTGTCTCACAGGGCCGTGGGGCCAGATTAAAGAAGGTATTACAGAAACACTTAAAGAGAAAACTGGATGGGCTCCCCCTTTCCTCCAACTCTCATCCCTCCGGAGGGAGCAAATACTAAATCATATTTGAAAATCTGAACAAGATTAAAAACAGGCTAAACAGCTGAGGAACGTGAGGGTGACAGGAAGGCCCCTCTGGCCCAGGCTGATGAAATGCTTTTGGGTGTGAGGTAAGATCAGCCAGAGAGAGCAGCTGTGCTGTGGGACGTTTTTGGGGTGTGTGTGCAATGTTAAACAGGGTACAGTGCCCCAGGGCTAAGAACCAGGTCCAGGAGAAGCAGAGCCTGCAGGGGAAGGGGCCGGGCACTCGCAGCTCACAGGGTTTCTGGTCTAATCGGCCAGTGCAGGACCAGGGGTGTCTTCTCTGTGCAGAGCTGTGCCCATGCTGGGCACATGGCATCCACCCCTGCTTTCCCCAGGGGGTGGGGAGATGGCAGCTGGCTCGGGCCCTCAATCTTCCCGCAGGTAGGCCTCCTGCTCCTGGTCGGCCCTCTCGTTCCCTACCTCCTGTGTCTTCTGATGCAGCTCTTGTGTCTGCACTTCTGCCAGCTTGGTTTCTGCCTTCTGGGAGAGCTGGCGCACTTCCTGCACCTGCGATTTCACCAGCTGGATGTGATTCCTGGCAGTTATAGAGGCCTGGTCTGCTCCTGCCAAAAAATGGAGCAAAAACTGAGCAGGACAGGGCAGAGGGCACATGTGGACTTGAGGACAGCAAGGCTCTGTGATTAGCATCTGAATCTCACTGAGGCTCGTTTTTCTCAGACCCTCGGACCTTCTTTCTCCTCAGAGACACCTCGGCCTCTAAATTCAATTCTCCATTTAAAAAAAAAAAAAAAAGAAGAAGAAGCCTGGTGCTGGTGGCTCACGCCCGTAATTCTAGCTACTCAGGAGGCTGAGTCTGAGGATCATGGTTCAAAGTCAGCCTGGACAGGAAAAGTCTGTAAGACTCTTATTTCCAATGAACCACCAGAAAACCGGAAGTGGCGTTGTGGCTCAAGTGGTAGAGTGTATGCCTTGAGCTGAAGAGCTGAGGGACAGTACCCAGACCCAGAGTTTAAGCTCTATGACCAATTTAAAAGAAAAAAGAGAAAGATTTAATTATGTAGTCCGGCTTCTTGGCTCAGCTTCCTGAGGGGATTAGAGGCATAGAGCAGCACACCAAGTTAAGTACGACATATATATGGTGTGGTTAACAGTCCTGGGGCTTGAACTCAGAGCTTGGGCACCGTTCCTGAACTTATGCATAAGGTTAGTGCATAGCTACTCATTAGTTACTCATAGCTCCACTTTTTTTTTTCCCTTTTTATCTGAAATAAGAGTCTCACAGATATTCACACCTGTCCAGGCTGGCTGGGAATGATGATCCTCAGATCTTGGCTTCCTGCATAGCCTAGGGATTACAGGAGTGAGCCACCAGTACCTGGCCATGGTGACTTTTAATCTACTGTAAATAACCTCAAGTTATGAACCATGGGCAGTTTTTCTGCGTTGAGCCATCACTGTGCTGAAGGCATCTACATTTAGAAGTGACACTAAACTAGGTTTTTTTTTTAAAGTGCTGGTCTGGCATCCATGCTTTGCTGCCCCCCACCATTATAGAGGTCCGCTGTCAATTTCTTTCTTTTCTTTCTTTCTTTCTTTCTTTCTTTCTTTCTTTCTTTCTTTCTTTCTTTCTCTCTCTGTCTCTCTCTTTCTTTTTTTTCTTTTATTTATGCCAATTGTCGGGCCTGAACTCCAGGCCTGGGCGCTGTCCGTCAGCTCTTCAGCTGTAGACCAGTGCTCTACAACTTGAGCCTCAGCCCCACTTCTGGCTTTTTCTGCTTATGTGGTGCTGAGGAATTGAACCTAGGGCCTCATGCATGCAAGGCAAGCACTCTACCACTGAGCCACCTTCCCAGCCCCCGCTGTCAATTTCTGAACATTGGTATATACTTTCTGTAATGTAGGAATTGTTTACTTGGGTTTTTTTGGCCGGTCCTGGGGCTTGAACTCAGGGCCTGGGTGCTATTCCTGAGTCTCTTTGTGCTCAAGGCTAGTGCAGTACCACTTCCAGCTTTTTCTGAGCAGTTTATTGGAGGTAATGAGTCTTACTTTCCTACTATGATCCTTGGATCTCAACCTTCTGAGTAGCTAGGATTACAGATGTGAGCCACTGATGTCTGGTTCTCTTCATAACTTTTTTTTTTTTTGTGTGCCAGTCCTGAGGCTTGACCTCAGGGCCTGGGCACTGTCACTGAGCCTCTTTATGCTCAAGGCTAGCACTCTACCACTTGAGCCACAGCCCCACTTCCAGGTTTCTTTCTGTGTATGTGGTACTGAGGAATCAAACCTGGGGGTTCAACGCATGGTAGGCAAGCACTCTACCACTAAGCCACATTCCCAGCCCTCTTCAGAACTTTCATTAATTTTTATTTATTTTTCTTCTTCAGAACTTTTAATGTGAGCACTCTGAATCATTTCATTCTTTGGCTAGTACTCATACATCCTCCTCCGTCTTTTCTCCTTTTGACTTAATGTTGCTAGATGAGTGGAGGCAGTTTCTGATGGTCTCAGTGGCTCACATTTATAATCCTAGCTACTCAAAAGGTTGAGATCTAAGGATCAAGGTTCAAAGCCCACCTATGCAGAATCTTACTTCAATTAATCAGCCAAAAGCCAGAAATGGAGGCACTGTTTCAAGTGGTAGAACATTAGCTTTAAGTAAAAAATCCAAGTGAGAGCTCAAAGTCAAGAGTGCCTAATAGGTATAATCAATGCCCAGGGATCCATCCAAAACAAACAAAACAAATCCAGAACAGAACAACAATTCCCTACCTTTGTATCATTTTTATGATTTAATACTACAAACTCTAGTCTAATATCCTGAAATGAGAAAGCAAGAGTACTTTAACTTAATTTCTTACTAACTTGGGCTTAAACTGTAATTTCTGTAAATCTACCTAGTTTGAGTTGAATCAGGTAATATGTTAATCTAAGGTTTTCCTCAAAGGACATTAATTAAAAAACAACTGCCAGACACTAGTGGCTCAGGCTATTCAGGAGACTGCGTTGGAGAATCAAGGTTCTGCCAGCCTGAACAGAAAAATTAAATACTTTTATGGGGGCTGAGAAGGTGGCTCAGTGGTAGAGCGCTTGCCTTGCATGCCTGAGGTGCTGGCTTCGATTCCTCAGCACCACATAAGTAGAAAAAAAAAAAAGCCAGAAGTGGCGCTGTGGTTCAAGTGGTAGAGTGCTAGCTAGCCTTGAGCTGAAGAGCTGAGGGACAGCGCCCAGGCCTAGAGTTCAGGCCTCACAACTGGACCCCCCCCCAAAAAAAAAAAGAAAAATTAAATACTTTTATCTCCAATTAACTACACTCTCTCTCTCCCTCTCATTTTGGGTCCATTGGAAGGAAATATGCCTCAGGGGAAAAGCCCCCACAAGACTGCATTTCCTGTCTTGGGGCACTGAAAGATGGGACAAAAGCAAGCCTGGCTACTGGGAGCTTGTTGGCTGAGTCTCAGTCTGGCACTCACTATGCTGTGGTGTCTTAAGTGTTCAGTTTCTTCAACTGGAGTGGGAATGAAGAATAGCAATAGCTATTTGTTTAACTTTTGGTGCTAGTACTAGAGTTTAAACTCAGGGCCTAGTGTTCTTCTGCTGCTTTTTTGCTCATACCTGCTCTTTACCATTTGAGCCATGGCTCCATTCTGGCTTTTGGCTGCTTAATTGGACATTTGAGCCTCCCTGGATGGCTTTGAACCTTGATCCTCAGATTTCAGTGTCCTAGGATGATAGGTATGAACTACAGGTACTCAGCAATAGCTCCTATTTTAAAAGTGCCTGTATGCCCTTGTACACTATATGAATAAAAAGAAGTTCCTGTGAAGTACTTACCACAATGTGTGAAATAAGAGAAACACTCCGTGACTTAATACTAGTTTGCCATCAACTGGGATTCTAATTATTATCCAATTGTGTATGTCATTCTATGACTTTTAGTAAGTTGTAGATTTTGAACAAATGAATTGCTTCAATATTTGTACATAATCAGTTTTATTTTTCAAGATATTAGTGACCTCGCTTCTGTGGATGCTCTTTTTCTATTAAGCCATCAAGTGGTAATGAACATACTGAAGGAAACCTTATAAGTTAGAGCCAAAATGGGTATAATTTTGGGATGGGGAATGTGCAGCTCTTGGTCATTTAAGACCCTTGAAATCATCTGCAACAGACACACCTGCTACTTGTAAGTGGCCCTTGCCCTCTGTGCCTGGGTGATAAATTTGATTTTTTTTGTTTTTTGATCTTTGAAGTAAAGTGCTTTTAATTTTATTTTTTTATTGTGAAAATACTGTACAGAGAGGTGGGTGATAAATTTGTATAAATACAAATATCTAAGAATTCCTTGGCAGAAAAAAGTTCCCTACCCCTGAATGAGAACATCTAAAGGCCTCATTTTATAGCTAGATTAAGTCAAACAGGGTCCTTCATGTTAAAAGTCCAACCTTGGAAGTAGCACTGTGGCTCAAATGGCAGAATGCTAGCCTTAAAGCAGCTCAGGGACAGCTCCCGGGCCCAGAGCTCAAGACTCAGGACCGGCAAAAAAAGAGAAAAAAAAAGGTCCCTACCAGTTTGGTATGCGGCTTCTGCTGCCATCTCTGAGAGACCAACTGCAGTCATCCAGGTGGTTTCTAGCTTTAAGTATTCTTGTTGTTTTGAAGTCATCTGTAAATTTAGCAAAGAGCTTCAGACAATGCAATGAGGTTTCGCACAGTTGAGTGGACTTATTCAAAACAGCACAATTAGGAAGAGTTCTTAGATACCTTGAGTCCATAACAAGCTAGGACACTAATGCAGAAATGACTAATGGGACTCCTGCTCACCTCAACTCTGGCTCCTGTAATCACCTGCCACACTTCATCTTCCTCCTGTGAATTCATTTTCCCAAGCAAACTTGTATATTGCCGGTACAGAGAAACTAACGTATATACAGCCTACAAATACAGAATAAATAAGTCTTGGTAAAGTGAGACATAGGAGAAAGGTTAGTGACATTTACAGCTTGACGGTGTAAGTCCCACCACAGCCAACTGGCTCCAGTCTCTGTGGCTCACTGAAACTGCACTCTTACTGAACGAGGTAGCCTCTGTTGCACAGCACTGCCATCACATACTCTGGGTTATTTACCATTAACCCTCTGGGACGAAAGTCCAAGGCCCTAAGTTCAAACCCCAGAACAACAAACAAACAAAATTTGAGGAAAAAGGTAAATAAAATATAGGTAAAAATATAGGTAAGTAAGAAAAACATTTTTTGAGGTAAGTCTTACGATTTTTAAGTAGTCTTTACAGGGAAACTCTGATGGTAGATGTTGTGTCCTTTGATCTCTGGGGAACCAGACTGAGGTGGACTGCACTATGTTACTGCTGTGTGGCTCACGTCTGTAATCCTAGCTACTCAGGAGGCTCAGATCGGAGGACTGTAGTTCACAGCCAACCCAGGCAGCAAAGTCTGTGAGGCTCCTATCGCCAAAAGCCCGAAGTGGTGCTGTGGCTCAAGTGGTAGAGTGCTAGCCTTGAGCACAAAGAGGCCCAGCAACAGCACCTAGGCCCGGATTGGGCCTGGGGAAAAAAAAAGATCTCTAGAATGATCTCTAGTGCCCAAGGGGAAAAAACAGGACTTAGTAAAGAGGACATGTGGGCTAGGAATGTGGCTCAGTGGTAGAGTGCTTGCCTTGCACGCATGAGGCCCTGGGTTCGATTCCTTAGCACCACATAAACTGAAAAAGGTGAAAGTGGCGCTGTGGCTCAAGTGGTAGAGCGCTAGCCTTAAGCTGTGAAGCTCAGGGACAGTGCCCAAGCCAGAGTTCAAGCCCCACAACCGACCAAAAAAAAAAAGAGGACATACCTTAGTATATTCAGTGATTGCTTCGATCAATGCATATGTGGTTTGAGAGAGAAAGGTAGAGGTGCTATCTGTTACCAAAGACACTGCTCTCCTCATTAATGCTTCATTACTAAGAGACTGAGGCTCCGATTTCTGAAAGACACGGAAACATTCTCATAAACACTGTCACTCAACTTCTAAATAGCTCAGAACTTTTCCATGCACAGCCAAGAAAATATTTCTCATGCTGCTTTAGTGTTTTTTTTTTTTTTTTGGGTCTGGTTGTGGGGCCTGAACTCTGGGCCTGGGCGCTGTCCCTCAGCTCTTCAGCTCAAGGCTAGCGCTCTACCACT